ACCCTGGCTTTGAATAGTTAAAAAATCCTTAAAATTTTAAAAATTAATTTGATTTAATATGATATTATAATGTTCATAATTTTTAGCATTCCCATCACTAAATTCTGGTTCAAGTTGGTATTTTCTTGTCCTCACAAATTTCAACACTCCAAGATTAAATTAATAATATCAACTTTGTTTTTTATTCATAGCATTTGAAAAGCTCATTTTCATTCGATATGCCCTCGCTTGCTGCAAACATTGGGTATTGAAAGGAAAAATGAGGGAAAAGGAGGAAAAATAAAAGGAATTGCGAGTAAAGGGATAACCAATGACTTTTACCCCACGTGTGCTACGCCCCGTACGCCCTTACTCAAGTTCATTTTAGTCGGCGAACTGTGAAAAAGCAACCAAGCACGAAAATAATAACAAATTCCAGCACAAAGCTGAGTGAACTGAAGTAAAGTGAAATGTTTTTTTATGTAATGAGCGTAATAATCAGAGAAACATGCGAAAGGATCTGCCACGATTTTGTTGATTGATTCCAGCACAACAGCGAAAGCCTTATTAAACCTGAACGCCCCCAAAAGGGGTTCTTTTTTATCACAACGTTCTACGTTAGCTCCCAGCAAAATCAAAGCGGAGTTAGCCAAGACAATAAAAAAGAGGGGTAAAAGCATTGACGACGGTGTTTTTAAGCCTTGTTATCAGGAGGGGGAGATGCTAGGCCATGATGGATGAGGAATGTCAACAGATTTTGTTCCGAAACCATTTAGAGGCTGTGTACCGAAAGTATTTATCTTACAAAATGCACTAAAATGAATTGAATTTAAGATAAATCGATTGACTAACAATAAAGCCTTCTACAAATTTAAAGACTTTTCAGGAGAGGCAAATATGCTGCCTTATATATGGAAAGGTTAATCCTCCGATGCCACTGAACCTCTCTTGTGCTGCTGCGCCACCGATAAATAAGAATAATGTGCGGAATCCAGCAAAGGAAGCCTCCATAATGACCATGAAAGAACAGTTTATGGTTAAATAAAGGCGCACAGCGGCAAAACTCCATTTTCTAGACACAGTGTCGGGCGTTACTGTAGTGCCCGCTTTTCCCTTTGCCAAAGCGTATATGCATGTATGCCACCCCCCAGCGGGGAACCCCTGTCGGTTATGCAAAGTAATGCAAAATTGCGACGGCGGCCAGCGTCAGCAGCGATTCAAATGCAAGTGGTCCACTTACACACGCCATATGCACAGTGGTGAGAAAACTGTTTTCGTTTTATACTATAATATTAAAGGTTGCTAAAAAAAATAAAGACGATTAAGGATAAAGTATAGTGGATATATCAAACTATTTTACAGCTAATAGTATTCCCAATAACTTCCCAAAAAATCTATCAATGCAAAAATCTTTGACCACTGTGCACAGTTGTTGTTTTTCCAGCTGTGCGCTTGTTTAAAATGCACGGGTATGTGTGCACGTTTTTTTTTTATTGGCCAAGCTTGATAACGCATATTTTTGGCTTATTTTGCAGCTTACTGCTGCGGCAGCAATTTTGCACAACTGGATGTGTGTGTTCGTTTCCTGGGATAACCACAAATGTCAGGGAATACGGAATATCAATAATAAATATATCCAAAGCAACATAAAATCAAACAATAAATTCTTTAACATTGAAATTAGAGTTTATTATTGTTTTTCACAAATATTATTCACTTATTTTTAAACAAAATAATATTATTTTTTATCTTATCAACTTTTGATAAAAGAAAGTAATTTTCATTATTTTGAAAGTAGTTAAAATTGTTCAATAAATCTTTCCATTTTGATCTCAATTACAGGGTATTTTCAGTTCAATATGTCGTGACTATACACTCTTCACACAATCATTTTTTGTCGCTGCGGTTTGCCCTTCGCTGCCCGTCTGCCGATAATCACGCTATTGCCCCATCAGCCGGAAATGGGCGCGCCGCCATCTTGTGTCTGCGCTATAGTCGGGTATGTGTGTTCGACTGTGTGTGAGTCCGACGAAATATGCGTGCAAGTGGCATAAAGTGGCAGCCATCTTTTGGGTCTTTGCCGTGCGGACGGGGCTGCCAATCTGCTGCCAAAGAGCACAGCGTATATTGGATTTGCCAATCATAAACTGAAGCCAACTGCATAATCTATGCACCATTGCAGTCACACACAGACAGCGGAAAATGGATGGGGGCGTATGGAAATGGGATTGAACAATTTTCCAAAATTCTTCGGGGCTCAAAAATCATGCAACCGAATGTCCATCAACTTCAAAAAGCTTCATTGGAATCTATTAATTCAATAATTAATATTTGACACTATAAAACATCAATATTTTTAGATTATAAAAATTGTGATATTCAATTAAATGGTAATTCAAAATTCATTCACATATTTAAAATCCAAAAAATGAAGCACAATTGCATTACCTCCGTTCTATTTATCCGCTTTTATTTTTCTGCCACTCTTTCAGCTTTGGTTTGTCTGTAGCTCGAAATAATAACAATAACTATCTTTTATATCTGCTTAACAGCCAATGCAGTTAAAAAAGCAAATGTTTTTCTCAATTGCCACTGCCATTGTCATGACTGTTATTATATTTGCAGCTTTTGTTGCTGATGTTGCTAGCAGTGACTCTACGGTAACATTGGTTTTGTATAATGCCCTAAGAAGCAGTAGTAGAATTAAAGAAACTATTAACAATAATAAATATTAATAATACATAATTTATTAAATACATTTAAATATATACTCTAGACCAAATAAGACAAAATATTTTAAGACTTTCTAATTTTTAATATTTTTTAAGTAAAAATAATTAAATAATATATCTTCTTAGAAGTTTATCCTACGCAGAATTTGGTTGTAGGATTGACAAGGAAAGTGTATTTTAAAGTACGACTTAAAATGGCAGATTTTCATTTTACCCTGAACATTTCCCTTTGTTAGTTCGGTTTTGCCAACGACGATGCCTTGCCAAAAACAATTCCCACTGAATTTTTACAGCCGAAATAATTTTTAATTTACATAAATGACGGTCGCCATTCAAAATGTGAGTGTGTGCCGTCGGTTTACTCTTTGGCTTTTGCCGGTTGCATTCAACATACAGAAACGAATCTTCCGGCTCGGTTTTCCCCTTTCTCAGACCCGGAATGTGGGTGAATCACTGAAAGAAAATTTTTAATTGTCTTGAATTCCATTACTTACTCATTTTCGGTTAGAACCTAATTTCTGGAGCCAAACATTAATTCTCGATTTCTGAATGACTTAAAATAAAGAATAACCCTGCACAGTATCTTTTCTAAGTGCATTCTCTCCCAAGTTGGCAGCTGCAAGCTTGCGACACATAATTCTGGTTCATATTCGCATGGCGGCGACACAGCAGCCCAAAAAGAAAATAAATTCCAGCGCCTCATGTTTTTATGGGGGAGTTGCCACATCCAGATGCAGCTTTTTAGCCAGCTCCCTTCCTCAAATGGTTGGACATTTATCGATTTGCTGGATAGGGATTATTCGCGCCGCCTTGGCATCGCCATCTCTGGTAATCTGTGCTGCTTCGCACCGAAATTATCTTCATCGCTCATACGCCGCGTGGCCAGGGAAATGTATGAAAATTGTCACTTATATTCGTGGTAATTGTTGTTGCTGCCTGCCTGTTGTCCGAAATGATAAATGACCAAGACAACCGCCCAGCTCCGCTATTCACAACATTTGTCCACCGCCCTACGTCTACATAAATGTATATCTATTAGCATTTATCTTGGTCTCGGACCCGGACAAGTTTCGCCTGACTCAAGAATTAATCATGTGGCAATTATGCTGTGGCAACAGTTCTTCCTCAGCATCCATTTGCACACACATATATAACCTTCCCCTGGCCGTTTCCTCATTTCACAGGGCTATCTGTGACATCGTGGATTGGCCTGGCCGCCCAGAGAGAATTTCAACTAAATCATTGTGTCCGAAATTATGCCATGCCCTTCAGAGCCGCAAGACAATATTTGAAGCCTGTATCGTAAATTACTCAGCAGTCTGGAATAAAGTCAGGTAAATTGTGGAAGTCTATAGTTGATAGACTTTATCTTAGAATTTGCAATTAAAATATTTTTCTCCTTTTATTTCGAATTTATTTAGAAGACAGCAACCAAATAAACAGATGAGCCCAGAAATTCTGGTCAAATCTAATTCAAAATTTAAAAACTGGTACATTTTTGAGTAATTTTGAATGATCTATTACAAAATTCTAAAACTCTTCTCCAAAAATGTCCTTTCTTCAAAGTGGACTATTCTATGTGCTGATTTTGTCAAGTAATCAAAAAAGAAAGGTTATGCAAACCTTTCGTTGGGACAATGGCGTCATGATAAGTCGCATTATATCTGCTGGTAAGTAAAGTCGCTGACCGTTTTGCATAATTGATTTATCATGATCCCTAAACTACAGCCAACAAATTTGGAATCTTTGGAAAATATTTAATCAGTGCTGAGGACAATGCCATTATAGCCGATGAGAACGCCCTTCGCCATTTTATTTACAAGGGTCACACGATAGTCGTGGTCGAAAGTCTGGATGAATACCTGGACAAACACATTTATCTAGAACAACCTGGTGAAAGTCACACAGACGAAGGTATAATCAACTTGAAAACGCTGGATATGGAAAAAGGAAGGTCGGCCTTAAAGGAAGAGATTTTTCTTCAGTTGAAGCAGTTCTCTTATCAGTTGGGACTTGTCGTGAAAGATTTTGACAATTTTATTCAGCAACAGGTGAAGACACATGACTCTTGAGGATACCTGAAGGAGAAGAGGCCAAAACGAATTAGTAATTAATTTATTTAACAAAATAGTGAAGTTTTTAGCTAAATCGAGATCATGCCGGCAAGAAGTCCAAAACTTTAAATCATACAAATCAAATATTTAAAAAAATCTCTTAATAAAATCTTTTAGCTCAAATTTTATTTGTACTATTGTCGATCTATTTATTCCATTAGTTAATATGCAAATATATTTGTTATATGACCTAATTTATTTATTTTGACAGTTTATTTAATTTAAAATAGAATTTTACATTTCGAGAATATTTGAGATTATTAATAGACAGTACTTTTCACACTTTTCCAATTCCTAACTAGCAGATTCGGGCTCCACGATCAGCGAGGCCTCTACCGCCTCTTCCTTGACTGTGACCCTTAAGTCCTTGATCGCTTCCTGGTACTCGAATGGCCGCAGCAGGTGCTTCCGGCAGCTGTTTAGCTGTTCATTATCCTCCTCGTCGGAGGTCGCCTCACTGTCGCCCTTGATCTTGACCGGCAGCTTGACCGTGTCGATTTGCAGGTGGCCCAGGCAATCGAAACCGACATAGGCCAACTTGAAGCTGGCCACGGCATTGGCGAAGTCCACGGCATCGGCCAAACGCCTCTGCCGCACGAAGGCGGCGTAAATGAAGCCGGCCGTGAAGCAATCACTATCGCCCACCCGGTCGATGATCTTCTTGGGCTTGTGGGCGGGCAGTTCGAAGTACTGACCCTCCGTGGTCATGCAGCCGGCGCCGAGGCTGCTCCAGGGCACAATGACGCAGGGCCGTCGGATCCGAATGTTCCGCGGCATCCGCAGCAGCTCGTTGATTCCCTCGCAGGCCTCCAGCGGCGTCATCCAGCCACGGGTCTCGGCTATATACTTGGTGACGAACACATAGTCGCACATGCCAATCAGATCTACGACCTTGGCGAAGGCATTATAGATCTGCAGCGAGACCACTATGCGATCCTCCTCCTCGCGACCGTTGTTGTGGTCCAGGACCAGACGGATCATGTCGCAGGTTTCCCGCGGACTGCGCGCCTCAAAGTTCACCCAGCCGTACTGATTGAGATCCAGCTTCCGGAAATCCCCGGCCGTCACATACGGAAACGGCTTGTCGCAGTAGACAACTGTGCAGCGACGAGTCCACCGCTCCTGGACAATGGTGGAGAAGGGCGGACTCTCGTCGGTGAAGGTGCAGTGGCTGATGTCGATGCCGCGCTGCTCCAGGTCGTCCAGGATCATGCGGTATGTGGGATTGCGGCTAAGCACGCCGAACAGCTCCACATTGGCGCCCAACAGCCGGAGGGCCGTGCTGACGTTCGAGGACCTGCCGCTGCGCTGCAGAGTTCCGTTCTGGGTCCGCGTCCTGTCGCTCTGGAAGTCCACGTTCTCCACAGTGGTCACGTAGTCCACCTCCGTGCAGCCTACGCACAGCACGGCCTTCATCACACTGAGCGAACACCATTGGGTCATCTTGGGTCACTAACTCCGATTCCAAATCTCAATCGACGATCCTCGTCTTCCCCCAGTCTTCAATTCAATTTCTCACACTCAATTTTCACTTGTCATATTTTCGATTCTATTTCTAAACAGTTTGACGAATTAAGCATAAAAATATAGAAATTTTGATATTTTAAATACTAATAAAATAATTGAATATCACCCAAAGAGATATTCGCTTTTAAATTTTAAAAATCTGAGCAAATGCATTTTTTTAAATTTTATTTTAGTCAAAGTTTTGACATTATGCCAACAGACAACAAATAAAGTATTGGTTTCTTTCTACAAAATGAGATCTTATTCTCAACCCTTCACATGGTAGCTTTAAGTTGACAAAAATGATCTTGAAGTTTCCGTAAATTACTTATACGAGTCGTATAATATGACACATATGACAGTCATAATTTAGTCGCACAAAATCGTTCTTCCATTTCTAACGTTGTCAAATTATGATTTTCGATGGAATAATTGGTTTAAAAGCTAAGCTAGTAGGACCTTATACATTTCCATATAAATATGGACCACCCTACTCTACATACATTCATTTCGTTTCTTTATTATTTATTTCATTTATTAGCCAACTGCAATCATCAGCAGTGAAATCGCTAAACATTCAAAATACCTTTTTTAAATTCTGAACACCAAATTTACCAAGTTATAATCGCAAGCAGTCTAAATTTCTCCATCAAATCAAGCAGTTACGTTTTTGGAAAATTGAATTTTGAAAATAAAAAAAAAAGGAAAAGAGTTACAGCATGTATGGCAACAAGCTGAGCTGGGCGGTTGGTAAGAAGACGGTGTTGTGTGTGGGCACCACGACCATAGACTTCGTCTCGACCATAGAGCAGTTCCCCGTGGAGCACACGTACGAGAAGGCCATCGGGGGCTACTGGATGCGCGGCGGCAACGCGTCGAACAACTGCACCGTGCTCTCGAATCTGGGGGTCAAGGTGGAGTTCTTCGGCATGCTGAGCAGCCTGTGTGTGTTTCAGGTGCTGATCGATGACCTGAAGGCGCGCGGCATCATCATTGAGAACTGCCCGACCTGCGACCAGGACGCGCCGTTCGCCTCCGTGATCCTCACCAAGTCGACCAAAACGCGCAACATTGTCATCTGCAACAGTGACTTTCCGGACGTGGGCATCGAGGACTTCCGGAAGCTGGACCTCAGCCAGTACGGCTGGATCCACATGCGGGTGCTGCACTTCAAGAACACGCTGGCGATGGTCAAGGAGCTGACGGCCTACAATGCGGCCAGGCGGGAGAAGATCGTGCTGTCGCTGGAGTTCGACAACAGCCTGGAGGAGATGTGGCCCCTGATGGACTACTGCGACTATGCCATATTCTCCAAGCAGCTGGCCCAGCCCAATGGCTGGGTTTCCCTGGAGGACGCCTGTCTGCAGCTCGACGAGCGGCTGCGCATGCGCTGGGGTCTCAACCTGAAGCGCCCCTACGTGGTCGTCCTGTGGGGCGCAGAGGGCGCCGGCTTCTTGGATCTCGACGGCAACTACACCCACGTCAAGGCCCACAAGCCCAAGCGCATTGTGGACGCCCTGGGAGCGGGCGACACCTTCGTCGGCGCCTTCATCTACGCCCTCTACATCCGCGAAAGATCCCTGCCCGTTGCCGTCGATTTCGGCAATCGCATGGCCAGCTACAAGTGCACCAAAAATGGCTACGACCACATCGCTAATATCCTGCTGCCTCCGATTCTATAATACTATATGATTCATGGCCCAACATTTCAGAAATTTAACCCATACCGTTTTGTTGATAAGCTAGTTATTTTGTTACCAAAAATAAAATAAATTTTATAAAACAAAAATTTGAATTTGCAGCTACCTTTCAGCGAGAATACATTTCTGAAACTAGGGCTTGTGGGAAATTGTAAAATTAAAAATAAAACGTAGAGATAAACTCTACGATTCTTTAAATACCGAGCATTTATTACGTATACGCACCGCTGTCCGAAGATAATACTATACTTACCTTATGGCTATAAATTACACAGGAACACAAAATTAAACTTTGTGAAATTTCCACGAACCATTTCAAGTTTTCCATGATATTTGGGTGCTCCTGAGTAAAAGTCCCATACAAAATTATTTTCCATCACCTACAGGTTCCGCGGTATAGCTAAGAATACAAAAAACCGATGTTTGCCGACATTTTGAATTACGTGGCCTATATAATTGGACCAACCTTTATTATTTTCGGTAGGACCTACTCTCAATACATCAAGGCATTCCTAAAAAATAGTCCCCATTGTGAACCATTGCCCATGTCTTTGGAATTCGACGCCAAAGTTGAAAATCCCAAAATTGTAGAGATTTTTCTGATGGAAAAACAATTCTGAGGATTAAATCTTGAATGGAAGTAATTTTAACTATTCATTGTATCTATTGTTCATTGTATGCTTTAATTTCGGTTTAAAGCGATTTCATGAGAATATTTTTTATTGGATTTATTATATTAATAAAACCGTTTTTTTTATTTCATTATCTACTCCTAAATGTTGTCAAATTTTAAAAAAGTCAAGGCATCCTACAGAATGGGAGTAAACATTTACATTTCTCTGTGTATGTTCAGTGAACGTATTTTAGTTTCTTAGTTCTAGAGGTTGCCATGACTTATTCAAAATTTGACAACATTTAGGAGTAGATAATGAAATAAAAAAATCGGTTTTATTAGAATAAGAAATCCAATAAAATGTTCTCATGAAAACGCTTTAAACCGAAATTAAAGCATACAATGAACAATAGATACAATGAATAGTTAAAATTACTTCCATTCAAGATTTAATCCTCAGAATTGTTTTTCCATCAGAAAAATCTCTACAATTTTGAGATTTTCAACTTTGGCGTCGAATTCCAAAGACATGGGCAATGGTTCAGAATGGGGACTATTTTTTAGGAATGCCGTGATGTATTGAGAATAGGTTCTACCGAAAATAATAAAGGTTAGTCCAATTATATAGGCCATGTAATTCAAAATGTCGGCAAACATCGGTTTTTTGTATTCTTAGCTATACCGCGGAACCTGTAGGTGATGGAAAATAATTTTGTATGGGACTTTTACTCAGGAGCACCCAAATATCATGGAAAACTTGAAATGGTTCGTGGAAATTTTTGGCTGTGTACCTGTGTTATCGGATATACAAATATATGTACATTCAACCTCCCTCGCACTTTCGGTTTTTCCGACTTTTCTATTGATTGCATAACGGACCGGCAATGTCCTTTAATTTTCCTTGCTGAAAAGGGTTCGAATATTTTTTCATTCACCCACTTACACTTTGTCGTTTATCCTTGGCCATTTGAAATATAGCCAGATTATTTAAATAAATGGAAATGGGACATTTTGTATACCACCAGCAGGTGATTAAACTGTCCCTGTTTGAAACCGATAAGTGAAATCTCCGCAAGCAATAGATTATAATTTGCTTGTGCTCGCACAGATTATGCAAATGCCGCTGAAGACGATTCTTAATTAGAGATTTCAGTTGAGATCAATAAGACGCTGATTTCTGAAATTTCGTACGAACCGCGAAAACATAGCTCAACCAGAGATAATTCATAAATATTAAAATGAAAATCCTCGCTCCACTTCCAAGGAATAAAGTCAAATCGAATTATGTAAAAATGTATGCGTACAATCCTCTAAATCAAGGAGCCGAGTGGTCAAAACGGGCAACTGGCCGCCGTCAACTTCACTTTTGCCGCTTGATTGAAACTCATTTATCATCATAAATTAGAAGTGGGGGGAGGCGAGGAAGAGATTCATCATACTCCCGCCGGCGGACTGTAATCCGGCTCAGATTGAAAATTAATGAGGTCATCAGGCCCTGCATACCCAAATAGCTAAGTATGTTCGTTCGCTTTTCTTCCTTTAAAATGTTATTTTCACCGTCATTTTTTCGTTTTTTGTTGCTACGTATTTATAAATTCACTTAGCAGAGGGCAATAGGAGAATCATCCACCCGAAAGTCAAGTTCCACTGCCTCTGAAGCTTCATCCCCCACGACACTGAATTACTTTTTTGGAATAATTTGTTGTTCTTAGCTATTGCGTTTACTGATTTATTTTACCACCATTGTGATTATCCATATTAAACATTTTTATTGCAATGCAAACTTTTTTAAAATTTACAAATAAGATTGTACGATTTGAATTTTCTCACAGAAGAGGTCATTGCACTATAGTATTCAATTTCTAAGTGTTATTATTTCTACTCTCACAGACGCAAAACAGTGTCAGTTGAAATGTAACTTATTATGTTATTAAAAACAGATACCAAAACAAGCAACGAAAAGTATGCTATCATTTTTTCCCTTAGAATTTCTGATGGTGTCATTGTCCGATTGGGAAAAGGAAATCCAAACTACAATACCGACCACATCCTTTGATCATGACAAACAAATCGGCAGCATTTGGGATTTAAAGAATGACCCTGGGGGTATGGGCATGGGAGAATTGCTTTTGAATGGTCCGTACTTGAGATTACTTGCCACATTTCCGCCAAACTCTGGCCAAAGTTTTCTCATTTTCGTTTCCGAAAAAAGAAAAATTTCTTTTTCAATTGCTACTTCAAAACAAGGGACTTCCGGTTACATTGGCTCAGCTTGAAGCTTATAGCCAATTACAATTGCTTATACCATTTGTATTAATGGTTAGTTCTTTGCCAATGAATTTTATTAATTTTTTCCCTATTTTTCTTTTTATTGTAATTTATGAAATATGTAGAATTTTATGAACAACAACTAAAACATAGCAGATATTATACGTCTTTATTGACATAATCTAAAGCCTACTCCAAAACATTTTAAAACATTTTTTTATTAATTAAAAAATAGTTGTTTAAAGTCCAAATGTTTATTATATTTGGAGAACTTATAAGAACAAATTTTTAAAGATCTGGAAAACTTACAAAGTCTTCTGCGTATATTACACAACTTGCATATGAATAAAAGTTTTCATAAATATCTCGCGAAAGTTCTTTAACATTATAATTCCAGTGACAGTTAAACGTTTCTCCTTCCATATATGTAGCAGCAGACATTATTCTTAAATGGTTCATAATCATATGAGCTGTAACCATATGATATGCAGTACTCTCCAAAAATTTAGTAAATCCTTCTACTCCATCATCTTCTATAAGTTTAGAAATTGTACAGATTGATTGCTTTGAAACTCCAATTATAGCATTTAAAAAGATAGATAGTTTTTCATCATCTTTTGCAGTTCCTTTGCCTCTTAAAAGGTTATCTCTTGCATCTTTCGCGCAACTCGATTTATTTTTTTCGAATAGATGTTCAATTATCGCTTCAATGGTCCTTTCCACTGCAGGCATGACCCATTTCGTCAAAGCTTCTGTCGCCACGTTAATTGCTATACCAGCTAATATATCTACACCAACAGTACGTGGCGTAATAGTTTTTGTCCTCTTCTTCTTGTTGGGTTTGGAAAGTGTTTTTGGATTGAAAGCCGTTATATCGCAATTATCAGGGTATCGCCTTTCTTCCAGTTTATCAACTCTTTTCCTTGTCTCGTTTAAACACTTTTGAACGGAATAGATTTGATATTTCCCTATAAATAAATCCAGAATATACCACTGAATGTCACCGCGAACTCTTGAATCAGAATGTTTGTAGTCTAAGTCACTTTCATTGGGCTCGGTATAGTTTCGTCTTGGTCTTACTGGCTCACACACATTATTTTTCTGTCCCTTTTGGCAATTAACTATGAAAACAGTTACCAAAAAAAATAATGATATGAACAGCAGTCTCATATTAAAAGAACAATACAAGATTTAAATGAAAGATTTTATTTATAAGCAAAAACATTTTTTCAGCCAATTAAGACAATTTATTTTGATATGCTTATTAGAGACAACCGCACCTGAACATTTTAAGGTAAAGTTCGTGAGGGGTATATGGTATAATGGTTCAGTAATTGGATGTTGTTGCGCCATTTTGACAGTTTAAAAGTCCTTTGGATTTCAAAAAGTTTGTTTATATATGTTTAAATTCAAAATTTTTTTATTGTGGGCCGCGCATTTTAGGCTCTGTAATAGGTATCTCATAGTCGACTATAACGATCCCACTGGATTTTTTGCGCATTCCTGATTTGCTTTACCCACTACTTACTCAAAAGAAATTCAATTTAGCAACGATTGTGACAAACACCAATATGAGCCAAACTGAATTATACTGAGGGGGTTGGCAGGGCAACTGGTTTTAAGCATATTTTTGGAAATATCATTAGCTGTAAGATTTTCTGTTTGGAGGTGAGGCCTATAAAATACCCTTCGATCTGAAAACTAAAGAAATTTGACACATGTCCACGAATTGACCCTGATTACGAATTGTTCTTTTTGCGAAAATAAGTTTATAAGCTTCAGTTTTTATAATAGTTTTATTGCCAGTCAACGTCAAATGTGCATTTCAGCATGTTCGCTTTACAAGTAAATATCTCATTATAAAAGTTATACATTATTTTTCGAATATACTCAAGTCTTAAAAACTTTTCAATCATTGAAATTTGAAATGTAGCAACCATTTCAAAATAAAACTTAATAAATTCTTCGAGACTAGACTTATCGAACCCCGAACAGAGGTCATCCGAAATTTCTTTTAATTTATTTTGCACTGCTCCTGCAGTTAGTTCAAAGGTTTCTTGGGATTTGAAACGCACGGTCTTATACAAAAAATCGGATCGAAATGATTTTACTTTTTCGATCATATCTAATACTCCCTGGCAATAACAATCCATTTTTGCACGATTGTCTGCAATCTCGCTTGGTTCCTCTGCAAAAATAGTGAGAAATATGATACAACGCGTTAATAACGATAGAACCGATTTATGCGCACCATTTAACATCGTCGGTTTGTCCTTAACCACATTCTCGGTTTCATTTTCGGTCCCAGCTACATTTTCAGCTCCAGCTACATTTTCAGCTCCTGCTTCGTTTTCAGCTCCAGCTTCAGGAACATCTACAAAGTTGGTAGGAAAAATTCGTATATAATATAATATTTATTAAAAGATCTGATTTCCGATGCACCCATGCCATGCACACCTTCATAAATGTCAAAATCTGCAAAGACATATGTAAAATTTCGATTAAGTAAAGAACAAATGTCTAGTCCAAACATGATAAACGCACCGAAATCATCTCCAGGCTCTGCAAATGTAGTGAAAAATATAACACAGAGTAGAAGTAAGTTAAATTTGAGTTTCAACATAGTCGTTCTAAGGTTATATGTTAATTCTAAAGGGAAGTAAAATTTCAATTTGTACTAGTTGTGAAATATAAGATTCTATGAAAGCTGTGAGATTCCTCTATTTTGTTACGCCTCATTTTATAATAATGACCGTAAAAGAACCAAATGTTTTTAATTTAACAAATTGTTCCCAATATGTGATTTTAAATTGGAATACAATGTTCCTAAACGAAAAACAAACAATACATGTTAATCTAAGAACATTTTTGTCATAATTTAATTTACTGTAATTAATTGTAATCTGCAAGGGTATTAAAACTTCGGCTTGCTTCCGTCCTCGTTTTTGAATAAAAATAAGAAAGAAAGCTATCTTCGGCCAGCCGAAGCTTATATACCCTTGCAGATCGTTCCTATTAACTTTCAAATCGCAAAAATTTTAAATTTCGTATTATTTTTTCTATCCTTCCCTATTGCAGCTATAGAATATAGTCGTCAGATTTTTGTTAAATTTAATTAAAAATTATGAAATATTAAAAAAAATTATATCCTATAGTATAAGAGAATACAATAAAAACCAACGGAGCTATAATTTGTTTCCAATTAATTTCCCATTAATTTTTCGATCGTTCCTATGGCAGCTATATGATATAGTCGTCCGATTTTGATTAAATTAAAATTGAAATTCGGAAATATTTAAAAAGAGTCATGTCCTAAAGTAGAAGAGAATACAATAAAAACCAAAAAGCTAAAATTTATTTCCTATTACTTTCCCATTAATTTTCTGATCGTTCCTATGGCAGCTATATGATATAGTCGTCCGATTTTTTTAATATTTTATTCGAAATTCAGAAATATTAAAAAAAAATATTTCCAAGAGTAGAAGGTTTTATTTCAAAAAACACCGAAGTTAGCATTTTTTTAACGCTTCCTTCCTATGGGAGCTATAAGATATAGTAGTCCGATCCGGTCGGTTCCGACTTATATACTACCTGCAATAGATAGAAGACTTTTGGGAAAGTTTCAAGCCGATAGCTTTAGAACTGAGAGACTAGTTTGCGTAGAAACGGACAGACGGACATGGCTAGATCGACTCGTCTAGTGATGCCCATCAAGAATATATATACTTTATGGGGTCAGAAACGTCTCCTTCACTGCGTTGCAAACTTCTGACTGAAATCATAATACCATCTGCAAGGGTATAACAACTTTACACAAGGAACTCACGACCGCAAGCTACGACGCGTCGTAATTATTTTTAAAATTTCGTTCTTAAATTTAGACTCGGGTTTTTCCCTGACTATTAAATTGCTCAGACTGTCATGTCATGGTGCAGATCAAAAATATATATATAGACTTAATGTGGTCGGAGATATCTCCTTCACTGCGTTGCAAACTTTTGACTGAATTTTTAATACCCTCAGCAAGGGTAGTAAGGTAAGGAATTAGACAAAATTACAATAAATTTATTAAAGGCCAATTATAGACATATTTAATACAGGGTTCTCATAGATCTTCAATTGAATTTATTTTCCAGGTGTAGAATTTAGGGTTTTTATGAGTTTCATGTCGCCGGAACTCGTGGTCGTGTTCGTTTTAGCCCACTGCTTCTTCGTTATATCCCTTTATTACAAAGAACAACAAGGCAACACAAAGTCCCCTGCAATGCTCGTGCTCGAACCTGGCTAGCCCGGCTTCAGAGGAATTTCCACCATGACAGCCATCATCACAATTGCATCCAAAAATGTTGCAAGATCCTTTTCCACAAAAACTGCCAGATATAATTTGCTTTCCATTCCAACAAGCTTCTTTCATATAGCATTGCGAGGATTCCAAATATTCCGTATAAAATTCTTCTCCATAATAGTGATCACACCGAAATTGGGTATAAAAATGAAGCTCTCCTTTAGGGCAGCAAACTGCGTCTGACCAGATCCTGGCAGTGAGGTAAGTAGCTAAGTATGCTGCAAAGACTTTTTTTAATACCAATCCCATTGAGCATTAATAATAACAGAATCGGATTTTCTAAACAAACATCTACATTTAGACCGTACAATTGTAATTTTCCGAATGACGCAAATGATGCAAAGTGATCCCTAACATATACATACTTGGAATGTTAATTTAGGTAACGCTTGATTTAAGGTGATTTAAGTATACAAGTAGCAAAACCTGAAGAGTAGAATGGTTCGACAATGAGATACCCCTATTCACTAGACTGAAACCGAAAATATTTCGCGACCATTAAAAATCTCGAAGACATAAAACTTTGCGATTTATGGTAAGATAAAGTCTATCCTAAATATTTAAATTATCAAAATGTTGTACGTCGCTCTGCTAGTGGAAAAATATTTTAATCACTTATAGAGTCGACACTTTACATAATACTAATACGCCCCTTTATGTGCGACTAACGAGTAAAACGTGCCGTAAAAAATCTCAATGTTCCCAACAATTCGGTACAATCAGTTTTGTTTCGAATTTCCAGCAGCAATGAAGATAGTTTTCGCATTCCTATTTTCATTTGTCATTCAACATTCTTCTGGTAATCGATTTTAACATGTTTTCTTAGCCTAAGAAATTGCATAGTTCCGTTTCATCTTTCAAAAGGGGAAATATTGAGGCCTTTATTCCCTTTTCTCGCTACTGACGAAATGAAATTTGTCCCCTGGATGATAAAGTTCGTACAATACGATGAAGACACAGAATGGGATAAAATGTGTTGCTTGAGACGGAACTTTGAACTAGTTAAAAAAATTATAAATGCTTTTGACCGCGCGTTTCGCAAAATTTCAGATAATTCTAAGCGGACAAGAAATGAATTCAGGGAAACAAAAAAACGTTTAAGAAAAATTTGGACGGGTGTTCAAGACGATTTAAAGGCATATGATGAACAGAGAAAGTCTAAAAAAGGAGGAGTGTCAACCCTCTTAAAATTAACTAATGCGAGAGTTTCCCTAATCTTTAAGGAAATTAAGGAAATGCTGAGTTACGATTCTGTGAAACCTGATTATAAAGAACATAGCAAACTATACATAAAACTTTTTGTAAATTTGAACTCTTTAATGGGTAAATCTTTAAAGTGTATGCACAAATTTTGGGATAAATATGATACACATATAAATCTGAAATATTTCTAAACATTATAAATAGAACTATACTAATAATAATAAATGTTTACTTAATTTTTGGCCACATTCAGTTTTTTTACTACGTGGGTGGAATGAGCTTACTGATTTTTTGAAACGATGAATCGTTTTCAAGTTTGATCTACGACGAAACATAGGTACTTTATTTCATAATGATGAATAATCGAATACTCATTGTCGGATTTGTATGCTTTAGCAGTTGTAATATAATAAAACTAATCTAATAAAATAAAACATGTATTAACTAGGTAAAATGTGGCTCATTCATTCCACATGAAACGTGACAGGCAATTTTGGGTCAAATCTCAGAGAAATTCGAAAATTCTCTATTCGATAGAGGATTGAAATATAACAACCCGAATTTTATATTTATACCCGTTACTCGTAGAGTAAAAGGGTATACTAGATTCGTGCAAAAGTATGTAACAGCTAGAAGGAAGCGTTTCCGACCCCATAAAGTATATATATTCTTGATCAGGGTCACTAGCCGAGTCGATCTAGCCATGTCCGTCTGTCTGTCTGTCTGTCTGTCTGTCTGTCCGTCTGTCCGTCTGTATGAACGCTGAGATCTCAGAAACTACAAAAGCTAGAAGGTTGAGATTTCCCACACATATTCTACGCAGCGCAAGTTTATTTTAGCCGAGCGCCACGCCCCCTCTAACGCCCACAATCGCCCACTAACGATTTTAAAATGGGTCCTGCGCCCACATCTTTAAAGATTTCCGAGAAGTATAAATGCAATTTTGTTGTGTATATTTATACCTATCGAAATGTAGAAGACATTTTTCAAATCGGACCATTCATTAAAAAGTTATACGATTTATAAATTGTCAACATATATCTATCTCCCTCGCACTCCCTTTAGCTGAGTTACGATTATTAGTCGGGACACCAACCCGACACAGCGTTCGCACTCCCTTTAGCGGAGTGACGGGTATTAGATAGTCGGGACACCAACCCGACTATAGCGTTCTCTCTTGTTTTTTAATCTCTTACCATTTATTAATAAAATTTTCTGTTTCAAAAGTTGTTTGTCACTAATTGTATTGCTTCGCTTTGAGGCCTAAATAAACATATTGTGTGGAAAAATTTTAAAAATTTTAGGTCACATAAAGACATAGAAAACAAGTGTTAGATAACTAAGTAGTACAGCAAAGATATTGCAATTTGCATCCATAGTTCCGCATTCGCTTGAGGCTTCAGTAGTTGTAGGTTTAGATTCAGATTCAGCTGGTTGCACCGGCAAATTCTCCTTATACTTCCCAGGCACATTTCCGGGTAGAGAATACCTCAAGACCAATATGTTTCTTCCCTTCTTAACCTTATAAATAAATTAGTTAATGGGGTGGCATTCGATATGAAAAAATATGTACGCGGCGTTCTTTGGAGCTATACCCACTTCCAGTTCTTTAGATGACTTCCAAATAAGTGCAGTATATTTATCACTCAGCGATTTTATAGCTTTGTATTTCTCCTTGTCACCTTAGTGTGGATCCTCTGGTTTAGGGAGTCCGTCTGCATAATGCCTCGATCCCAGACCATACCACTCGGGAACACAAGATTTATCGTAAAACTCGCATATATTTTCTGTATACTTGGTTTTCCTTGGGTCCGATAAGGGATAGGCAGTGTGATCGGTGTAGGCATAATCGTCGTCCTCCCAATCATGTTTTGTTACGAATAATATTTAGTCAGGGATATTCAATGTAACTAGATAAAGTTCACCGTCACAACATCTCCCAAAGATACACAGTTGAGCTTCAACAAAAGTTTATTTCCAACTTCTCAGAGCTTTTATTTTGCATTACCTTTAAAGCAGCCAGCTTTAAAACAATATTCACACATGTGAATATTATTTAAATACTTTTACTTTTATTCTTTCTTACCATGTTTTGACTCACATTCATAAGAATAAATAATAGCTCTGTAAAGTCGTCCGTGTAATTCTGTTAGACTATCCCAGTAGCATTTATAGTGTTCAGCGGGTATGGTTGCTTTTGTAGGATTACCTATGAATTCTAGAAAACTAAGCAAATCAGGATAGTCCGGATCATACCATATGCGTTCAGTAAGGTTTGTTAATCGGGGGGCAGAGCCTTGGCATTTCCAATATCTATTTAAATATCTGCCGAGCGGCTCCATCATCTCGTAGTTGCAATCTTGCTGCGGCGTCCTTACAGTGGTGGGAGAAAAATCGATCAAAATAGAGTAGATACGAGGTTGGGCAACTAATAGTAGTGATAATATAGAGATGTAACGCATCTTTAATGAAAATGCGAGACGACTGACTTATCCAGTTGCATATAAACAAGAAAGGAAATTATCACCAGAACTAATTTTTTCTACGGGTATACAAACGTATAACCGTAATTAATTTCGTGAATCTAAGAGTAAGAAAAATAGTGGACCTTTAGATATCATGTAGCACACATGTACATATATTTTCCATTTTGTCATTTAAAGATTTTTTTCTTCCGAATTACAGAGTTCCACACTTAATTGCTTGTTTGCAGAGTAGCAATTCCGAAAGGAAATGTGAACCGAGTCGAGTAATTTTCCTCATACGATTACGGGTAATCGACCCTTATTTCGCTCGGTGCGATACGCTACCCGAAGATAATGATGACCTGGGTTCGGATATGGCTTACCTGGGATGTTATTCCAGACAATTGCATGCTATTGACATTTCAATTGTCTCTTATTATTGCCAGGACCGAGGACATAGCGCTGGCAAGGGGAGCAGGAACGACCCTCATTTAAATTACAAAAAAATAGAAACAATAAAAAAGCATTTCAGTGGGGTTAGATACACGCATGCAATGGAAGCAAAAATTTGCATAATAATAGCAATTGCACTCGCTTCAGGTATTTCTGGATTGGGAAAAGGTGGAGAAAGAAGAGAAGAATAAAATGCCAATTGTAAAGAATCCAATTTTCACCTAATGTCGGTCACAGCTTCGACCCGGGTATATCAACGTCCCCTTCGATTGGCACCACAAACCACTTTCATGAAATAAGAAAATAGTCTCAAACGCTTGGAGCTATTTTCATTTCGTTTGTTATTCTGTTTCAAAGTATCAATTTGTGTATCATTAAAATAATTTGATTTCCTTTCCACTTGGCAAAAGGAATACCTTTCCCATACGATAAGGGGGTTCGAGAGTCCTTTCCCATGCCCAAACTGACATGACCCTGAGCCCTAATTAAGGCACCTAATATGATTTGCGGACTTCCTTCACATATTATATTTCATTCTTCTTCGAGACTCCGTAAGGTATTTGAAATACGTTCTAAACACTCGTAATATTCAAGGGCATACCTGAGACACTTGTGATCTTTTCAAGGGGATTACTTTGAACAGAACTAACGCGATTATAGCAAGGAATATGTAAATAAAAGTTTCGGAAAGTCCTACTCCATTTTATTTCCCATGTTTGAATTTTGTAACATCGAATTTATGAACAAATAAAACATGGATCCGAGTGGTGGAGCCTAGGAAGGACCCAACATTTTGTCGGGACGCACCCAATCGTTGAAGTCCTTCTCCGATATGCCAGCGTTCAAGGCCTCCTCCTTCAGAGTTGTTCCATTCTTGTGGGCCGCCTTGGCGATCTGAGCCGACTTGTCATAGCCAATATGCGGATTGAGGGCGGTCACCAGCATTAGCGACTCGTTTACGATCTTGGCCAATTTCTCCTTGTTGGCCTTAATGCCCTTGACGCAATTGCAGTTGAAGCTGATACACCCATCGGCTGAAAAAAAAGGTAAAAAAATAAGATATATATATATGTACTGTTATAAAAAAGGGTTGTTCTATAAATGTTTGATGGTAAAAAGAGTTAATACGATAATATTCAACCAAATTAGGCCGCGAATTCTTCAGTCAGTACAAGATATGATAATATAAGTCAAATAAAATAAATCCGCGAATTCTTTATGGGAGGAAAATTTTAAGTGTTAAAATCGAATCTGCCAAATTAATATTAGTAAATCTGTAATGTCTCATATCCAATTGATATTTTTTAGGTATTTTTTTAACGTAATCATACCCAGCAGCTTGATGGAGCGCAGCACATTGGAGGCGATCAGTGGCTTGAAGACGTTCAGCTCGAAGTGTCCGTTGGCCCCGCCGACGGTGACGGCCACATGGTTGCCCATCACCTGGGCGCAGATCATGGTCATGGCCTCGCACTGCGTGGGATTCACCTTGCCGGGCATAATGGAGCTGCCCGGCTCGTTCTCCGGCAGCAGCAGTTCGCCCAGGCCGCAGCGCGGTCCGGAGCCCAGGAACCGTATGTCATTGGTGACCTTCATCAGGCTGACGGCCAGAACGTTGAGGGCTCCGTGCACCTCGACCATCGCGTCCCGGCTGGCCAGGGCCTCGAAGAAGTTGGGGGCCACCACGAAGGGCAGTCCGCTGAGCTGGGCGATCCGCTTGACGCACTTCTCGGCGAATCCGCGGCGCGTATTCAGACCCGTTCCCACGGCGGTGCCGCCGAGAGCCAGCTGGTAGACCCGTGGCAGGACCGCCTCGATCCGCTGCAGCCCGTTGCTCAGCTGCTGGGCATAGCCGCTGAACTCCTGGCCCAGCGTCAGCGGCACCGCATCCTGGGTGTGGGTGCGTCCGATCTTGATGACGTCCTTCCACTCAACGGACTTGGCCTGCAGCGAGTCCCGCAGGGCCGTCACCGCCGGCCGCAGATCCTTGGTCAGGGCGGTGGCCACCGCAATGTGAATGGCCGAGGGGAAGGTGTCGTTGGAGCTCTGCGACTTGTTCACATGGTCGTTGGGATGCACCGGGTCCTTGGAGCCGATGCGTCCGCCCAGGAGCTCGATGGCCCGGTTGCCGATCACCTCGTTGGTGTTCATGTTGCTCTGCGTACCGGAGCCCGTCTGCCAGATGGGCAGCGGGAAGTGGCCCTCGTCGTAGAGCTTGCCGGAGATCACGTCGTCGGCGGCATTCGAAATCGCCGTGCTGAGCTTGGGATCCAGTCCGAATTCCTGGTTGGTCTCGGCGGCCGCCTTCTTCAGTATGCCCATTCCCTGGATTATCTGGCGCTGATCGCGGTGAGATGAGATGTGGATTTCTCTTTAAGATCTCCCAATCCAGGCCAACTTACCGGCATTCGCTCCTCCTCGCCGCCAATGCGGAAGTTAAGCAGACAGCGCATCGTCTGCGCGCCGTAATAGCGGTCCATGGGCACGTCCATGGCTCCCAGGGTGTCGCTCTCTTGGCGGTTCTCTACCTTCTTGCTGGAGCTCATCCTGGTACTCTCAAATGTTTTAGTTGGGGAGCAGAACAAAAAATACACTCAGGTGTCTGGCAGGATCTCTATGATCTGACAGAAAACAACCAGAGATGTGGTTTATAATCATCAGAAAATGTACAGTGCGAAGAACTTAAGCGCAGTTCAACGGGCAGTAATTTTACATCTTCAAATATTTCCATCAGGTTATGTTAAGATAGCATACCTAGACTATCAGATACCCATTACTCAGCTAAAAGAAGTTCGAGGGGTATGGTGAGTGCAAGTAACTTTTTAATAAAAAGGCCGATTTGAAAAATGTCGTTTACACTTCGATAGTTGTTATTAAACAGAAAGGCATCCTTCTTCCAGTTACATACTTTCCTACGGATGCAATAATAAATACAGCAAGTGTGCAGGTTTAATGAAAAACTATGCTCAGGAAAGCCTAATTTGTTAAAATAATAGGCTGGCAGGTATGCTCAAATCATGATCTTTTTGCCTTTCTAATCATATCATATCAGTTTTCCTTTTTCTTAATCGAATTTTAAGGTGGTTTTTTTGATAAGAGCTTCAGTTATGAGGATAAAATTGGGAGAGCACAGGTGACTGCAGTCATGATCCTATGTACCTGAATCGACTGCTGCCGATAAGCCTAAAATATGGAAGCGTAGAGATGATAACAATAATTGGGGTGAGCGCTGAAAGTGCTGGAACTGCAGGTGAGTCTGATCCTCCTTTCTGGTTGAGTTTCGGTTTCCTTGGTTTCTTGTCTAGTCATCGCTACCTACCACCCGCATAACTGATTGGTCTTTCTCAGACTGGAAAAAACCCTATACCTACATTTAACATATCACTATGGACGGCAGTCCATGTAGTGACGAAGCGCACCAGGAGAGTGTGCGAAGGCGACTACTATATATACACGAAGAAATGAAAATCTACTGTGATGGTCCGATCATAATGAATAATACACCTATCGAAAGGTATTGCAAAAACTAACAGGATTGCATACCAAGACTTTAAGAAAATCAATTGGCTTGGAAGAGAGAGCGGTGAAAGTGAAAAAGTGAAAATTTCGAAATTTGGAGCTGTTGGGGCCGCTGGGGATAAATGCCCCCTCGCAATGTTTTAATTGTATTCCTTTTGAAAATACCCGTCGAATGAGGGGTCATTTGTCAAAATCCGACGCTCCGTTCAAAAGTTATAGCCAAAATAAGATTTTCTTCGTCTTCCCAAAATGAAAATTTAATTCTGTTTGTCAGTTTGTCAGTTTGTCAGTTTGTCAGTTTGTCAGTTTGTCCAAAACATGTTTTTTAAGTTTTGAAAATTTGATATGACGTTGATCACATCGATATAAAAAACTTTTGTTCTACCACTTTTGGAAAAACTCGCTAGTTTAGCGGGAAAACAGCTATAAATAGCTAAAATTCGGAAAGCCGTAACTTCTATACTACTAAAGCTACAGGCTTGTGCTGCATCTCGTTTGAAAGGTATTTTTAAATGCTATAAACGCCTTCTATATGCAATTTGTGTAAATGTAATACTTAAAAAAATATGAACAAAAGACAATTTTTTAAAACTTTTTTTTAGCTTTTTTTTATTTTTCTCAAAAACGGCTCTAACGATTTTCTTTAAAACCTTAAACTGTATAGCCCTTGAGATTCCTTAAATTTTGGTATATAACACATTACTGTAAAAAGTCACGTTTAAAAGTTATTTTTATTCGAAAATGGCCACTTTTGCCAGCTCGACCAATTAACGCTCCCTGAGTATTGAATTTTGTGGGAGGGTATCCGAACTGTATTTTAGGGTCATGGAATCAGTAAATTTGCACTTAAGATTTCCATATAGGAATCTTTTGTTCTACGACTTTTGGAAAAAGCCGCTACTTTAGCTGGAAAAAGCTAAAAATAGCTAAATTTTGTTAGTTTGTAAGTTCTACACTACTAAAGGTACCGACATGTGCTATACATCGTTTAAAAGGTATTTTGAAATACTTAAACGCCTTTTTAACTTAATTTGTTTAAATACAATGGCTTATAAATTATGATTGACCAATTTAAATTTAAATGTATGTATATATTAGCTCCTATGAGAGCAAATGTAAACAAACAAAAACTTCTGATATCAAATAAAAACACCTCTTAACGAGGTAAAAAACTAGTGACGATCGCACCTTCAACATACAAAAGTTCTGATATCAACATTTGTGACGAAAAATTATTACACTCGTCATTAAATAGACTTTCTAATATTTTCTCATTCGGCACGCTGCAATAGAAAATGCCTGTGAAGGGAAAAAGACCGGACACTGGTAAAAAAAATGGTAAATTTCACTATTTTACCATTGTTTCAATTATTTTTCCCAGCGAAATAGATCCTAACATGAAAATAGTAAAATCGTATATGGCGCATAGTTAATAATGTTTTAAATATTTTTATAGTAAATTCAAAGATTTTTGTATTTGATTTGACTATTTTTTTTATCCAGAATCTTGTAATAATAATTTACAAATTTTTTTTTTTTTTCGAGTGAGCGCCTAAAGTATTTACTTTAATTTTGAAATGCAGTTATTTATTGTCATTACAATCAAAAATATTACTGTGAACTTAAAAGAGCATTTTGCCTCGAAAGGAAATAATATGGGCATGGCTCAGGGGTCAAGGGCTAGGTTCTGATACTATTTTGTGCTCGGGGGTACCAGGTTCAAGTCCCGCTGACACCACAACTTATTTTTTTTTTTTTTTGTGATTAGTAATTCTTACAACTTTTTTAATACAATATTGTTCTTATAAATGTTAAGGAAATGTTAAATACGCTTCTTAAAAACTTTTTACTTACTCTGCCTCAGACGGTTTTTGAACCGGGGTCCTCTCGCGTCAGAGGTAGATGCCTTACCCATTGATCCATCGCACCATGTTACGCGCGAGTGGATAAGTTCAACTTAAATGTAAAGTTAACACGATCCATAACACATATAACTTTTTAAAACTAAAAATGCTACTTTTCACTCATACATTTTATATAAATTTAATTTAATATTATTTGAATCTTGACTTTCAAAATAATTGTGTCAAATAAACTTTTTATTCAAAATAAATTGCGAAAGTATTTAATCGGATCAGAAAAAACATTGATTATACTATGTATATAACTTACTATTTACAATACTAAAAACTACTATTGCGACTTTGGTTTTCAACATCAGTAATATCATTTCAAATATAATTCCCTTCGATTTTATTATTTTTATATTTGAATGAAGGTTTAAATATGCTTTTTATTAAAATCAATGATTTATTTATTTGATTTAACTATGAAAAGTAGTAAATGAAATCAACTAAAAAAATATTTGATTTTACTATGCGTTTTTTTTACCAGTGGAATAGTTTGCTAGGGCGGGCCGAATGAGAAAATATTAGAAAGTCTATTTAATGACGAGTGTAATCATTTTTCGTCACAAATGTTGATATCAGAACTTTTGTATGTTGAAGGTGCGATCGTCACTAGTTTTTTACCTCGTTAAGAGGTGTTTTTATTTGATTGTAAAAGTAGATGAAATTTTTAAACAAGGTATGGTAAAGTATAACTGTGGAATTATACTATATACATAGGAGGTTAAGGCAATAATGTTTAAGAAATAATAATAATAATATTATAATCTGTTGGACTTCGGGAATATACACCCTAACCCTATTAGCGTTAATTAAGAAAAAAATATTATTCTTTATTTGTTCGTTAAATTTATGAATACTTTTTAACTTCTAAATTTAATAGACTTTCTGTTAGCGTACAAAAATTTACTGCATTTTTTAAGTATGTGTGAACTCTTTTCGTTCGATTCTGGATTCTTTGGGTTTAGGCCATGGTTTAGACAACCTGGCCAGACATGGCCGACAATCGACGTCGGGTAAAAATGTCTTATCATTGTTAGGCGGGTGGCTGAAGTGGAACAAATTAATTTCGTTCATTTTAATTATTACTCTTCTTCTGTTCTGCGCAAAGCGCTCGATTCTCATTTTCCTGTCCCTCATACAAGTCGCTATAATTTGAGAGCCATTAACTCGCCGGCCCTTAAGGTCAATTGTGTACGCTGGATTCATGGTTTAATTATTTAAATGAATTCATATTCGGATTTTGCTCTTTTTTTCTCACATTGTCTGACCAAAGCCCGTAAATCATGTATATCATCGTGATTTTTTCTTATATTGAAGGCATTTCTTGGCCCTCAGAAGTACCCAAATGGGCGTGTCTCTTGTCTTTGGATTTTTATATTTTGGGTCTAAAAAAGAAGTGTTTTGTATTTCTAACTAAATTGTTTTGCATTAAGCTACTGGAGGTGCGTAATATTCAAACCTAATTTTATCAGGTTTTACAAGATATTTGTACAAAATCTATCCTGGCAAATGTAAAGTTAACTGTTGACCCCGTGGCGAATCGCGTGTATTTTGGCCGCTTGAAATTTCACACCCAGGGCACACGAAAAATCCAAGGCTCCATTATAGTTCTTACTGTATTTCTGCTCCTGCGGCTCCTTGGCTCCGTCGCCGTGCTTACTTTTTGGCGAACAACACATGGGCACGCAATGTTTCCGCTGCAACGGCAGTCTAAAGTGTCCAATCAAGTTTTTGAAATGAAACCTAAATAACATGTCATAATAAATAACCTTCAAGCGACCCGGGGGCCTGCCAGTTGACTCTGGCCAACGAAGAAATCCCAAATCCTGTAATTACAACGTAAATCCAAAATGTCTCAACGCCGCACAGCCGTTGCGAACTCGCCCAAGCAAACGCACACAGAGACCCGAAGGAAACTTAATTCATATATCAAAAAGTTTTTCGGTCCGAACAGTGGACGAGAGTAGCAATTTGCGCGCAAGTAGCCGGGTCCACTAGCAAGACCAAAAACGCAGACCAAGTCCAAGACGTATTCGTTCACTGGAAGAAATTAGGAGGGTTCTGGTTAATCCCTAAATCTGGGCTTTAGCCTTAAAAATCAAAAGTTAAACCACGATACAATATGATCTTATCATATTAAATTTTCATATTAGAAATATTTAAAATATATTTTAAACAAGAAAG